TTGAGCAAGTAAGTCCCAAGGGGAAGAGGGGTAGGAGGGCTGAGGGTGTAGGTTCACTGGGGTGGTTATGCCTGCTCCCCCAACCCATCTGCAGGTCATGCCTGACCCCCCCGCCCGCAAGTCATTCCTGCCCTGACCACCCACCTGCAGGTTGCACCTACCCTCACCACCCCAGCCACAAGTCATGCCAGCTACACGCACCTCACCCATGGGTTTATTCTGCCCCCCCTCCATCCATGGGTCATGTTGGCTCCACCCACCTCACCTGTGGGTCACACTAGCCTCCTACCCCACCCACAAGTCACACTTGCCCCCCACCCCTCATGGGTCATGCCTCCCCCCATCTCCTTCAGCCTGCTGGACCCTCAACCGCCTACTAGATCCCTATTCCTGACTTACCTGATATCAGGCAGCCATTTTGACCCAATTTAGCCTCCCCCTAAATGTCTGTATTTAACTATAATAATTCCATGATAGGGGCGCCTGGGCTCTTTAACTCTAGTCAGCAGCCAGCCTAGGAGTAGAGCCCCAGTAGAGTGACAAATGACTGGCAGCTCCTGTGGCCAAAATCATTCCAAACGTATTGGTACCTGCCTTTCCTTTGGATTAAACCAGCAAGGCTGAGAGGGGACATTGGTATGTAGGCAGCTCAGTGTCTCCGTTTACATCACCCAGGCTTCTGCAACCTGGATAGTTCACTCCAGCTTCACTTTATCTTTCAAGTGAGTATTACATTCAGTGAGTTTATGTCTCATTCAGCATAAGTCTACAGACAGATGCCTACCACAGCTCTTCCACTAGTTAGTGTTTTCTGCTCCTTTCCAAAGAATGTAGTTGCAACTAAGGTAGACACAGTTAAGGTGATTTCATTTCTTCCTCACCTCAGAATTTTAAGGTAACAGCCCTGGAGTTTTGTATATTTATCTAAAATTACTCATATAGATCCATAACATGCAGCTAAGATGGCTATGACTTAGCTGCCACCTTTTCAAATTAACATGACTAGATTCAGGGGAATCATCCTGTTTCACATGTGGAGGTACACAGTTCTCCTGTTAGTTCTGTGTCTCAAGCCCTTCTGTCATCCTAGCAGATAAAAGGGAGACATGTTATTTGGATTTGAATGGTGAGATGTCCAAATCTATGATTGACTTCAGTGTAAAGTATGCTGTTCCCCAATACAGTGCCTGCCACACTGGAGCATACAGTCAGTCTTCCTCTTTCTTGCTCTCCTCCTGGCCCTATGAATCTTTCCCTTGTGCCTAGCCAGTACACCACCTTAAACAGGAGTACTGTGCTTTCAATCAGGCTTAGGCTAGATATCAGGAGGTGCTACTTCATGGTCAGGGCGGCTAGGATCTGGAACCAACTTCCAAAAGAAGTGGTGCTGGCCCCTACCCTGGGGTTCTTTAAGAGGAGGTTAGATGAACACCTTGCTGGGGTCGTTTGACCCCAGTAATCTTTCCTGCCATGGAAGGGGGTCAGACTAGATGATCTTCTCAGGTCCCTTCCGACCCTAGAAACTATGAAACTAGGATGTGCCCTAGTAGTCAGGGTACTCCTGAGAAATTGGTTTAAGTATCCTTGGGGTGAGGTGGGCTTGAAACCAAGATCTCCTATGTCCTGAGCTAGAGCCTTAAACTGCTCGGAGAAGGGGAGCCTGACAGACTGACTTCATTATACATGATGAATAACATGTGCCCCTGGAGACTGGGTGGGCACAGTGACTGTCCGCAGGTGGTGGTGGCAGCAGCGGAGGCGTGGCAGTGGTGAGTAGGGAGCTCCCGCAGGCAGCCATGGTGGTGTTTGGGCAGGGGGTGGCAAGCAGCAACTGCACGCAGGCACCACCAGCTGTGTCAGTGGTGCTTCTCTCAGGGTGTGCACCGCCAATCTCAGGGGGTGCATGTGCACCCATGTGCACCCCCTACATGTTGACAATGTTATAAAATATGTTGTTCTTTGTCATAAAAGTCTAGTGTTTAGAGTACTTAGCCAAGATAGGAGGTGGGGCTGATGTTCTTCATACACCCTTTGTCTTGTGGAGAAAAAAATTAGGCACAACTGCAGTGGTACTGCACAGTCATTTGGTACTTGCTAAAGCATTATGAGCACCTAAAGCAAGTACTAAATGTGCAGTACCTGCCAGGGCTGCACAGTCCCAGTAGCAGATGGGTTGTTTCTGACCCTACTGCACAATAGCAACAAGCTACTGTACAGTAGCTTATTACTGCTGCACAGTAGTGGCAGCATCACAGCTAGTGCCGGCCAATGCTACATTGCCATAGGGACAAGCATGTTGCCAAAGCTCATTGCTACAGCAACATAGCATCTCATGTAGACATGTCCACTGGGCATGTCTACATAAGGCACTTTACTGCACAGATACACTAATTTACTGTGCAGTAAACATCACCATCTACACATGCAGATGCTTTCTGTGCAGTAAATTAATCTACTCTGTGGTTAATTTGTTACCTCAAATGGAGGTAGCAAATTCACCAAAGAATAGTTACTGAACAGTAGCACACATGTAGATGCAAACTTGGAGAAAATTTGTTCCCAGTCAGCCCTAGTACTAGGGGATCACCTGCAGGCTAGCCCCAGGGTCACGGGGCTTGGCGCTTCTCCAGCTCTGGGGCTGGGGAGGCTCTTTGCCTGCCTCAGCCTGGCCCTTAAAATGCTGCGGTGACTCTGGAGCCCTGAGCCACTTGCAGCCAGCCTCTGGGTTCTGGGTCCCACACCAGTGGCCCCAGGCCAGCTGCAGCAGTCTGTCCAGGCCCCAGCACTGGCCCCTGGCACAGCCCTACTGCCTGCCTGCTTGTCCCATGCAGTGCTGCATGCACGCTGTGCTGAGTGCTGCATGCACCTGCCCAGGCCTGCCAGCACCCAGACTATCACACGAAGCCCCTGAGGGCCATTGAGGAAGCCACACTGGTATCATCCCCAATGGCACACATTGCCTGCTGGGGACAGAACTGGCCCCAGGAGGGACCACAGACCTCATGATGCTGTGGGGTGAGGTTGTGCTCCTAAGCCAATTTGCCTGGAGTGAGTACTCCAACAATCATATCTATGAAGGCTTGTCAGGTTGCATGTAGAAGCATGGGCATGACCGGTTGGTGCACTAGTGTTGCATAAAGATCAAGGCCTTATGGACACAGTGGGTTAGCATCAGCAACTACAACCTCTGTTTGGGGGCTACCTGCAAGTCCATGCCCTTTATGTGGCAGCTGGACCAGATCCTCACATCCCAGGACTCCTGCCAGAGCTAAGCCATGTATTCCAGCATGGGTGGCCTGTCCAAACCTCCACTGTGGTTTGGCAGCCGTGATGAGATGTCATCAAGGGAGGGCCCCTAGGGGCACCAGGAGCCCATCCCACCACAGTCCCTGCCCTGGCATCATCCAGCAGCTCCAGCAGCCTGGGAGTGCCTGTCCCACAAGCTCCAGGTGCACAGGCCAACCTAGGAGGCCAGCTTGGCTATGGTACCACCAGCCCTCAGAAGCTCCAGCTTGTCCCAGGAGGGGTCCCTGCCCAGGAAGATAGGCACTGCACCCCTGCATGCCAGGACACCACTGGGAGCCACACATTGTCACTGCAAGCAGGAACAGACTCAAGCCACGAAGCACACCTACTATGCCTAGCTGGTAAGCCCTGCACTGGGAGAAGGGCCCTTCCCTTTCCTCCCCACCCCTGCCCCTGCCCCTGCCCCCCTCTCCTCCTGGCCTAGCCGGGCTCCCCATGGCCCCTGGTGTTCTCCTCCACAGCACACAAGAAGGTGGAAGGCAGTGCAACACTTTATTGAGCAGCCTGTGTCCCCTTAGCTAGGCTGGCACGGGCCTTTCACATGCAGAGAAATGTGTTGATGCCTGTGGTGATGTTGTCCTTGGTTGCAGGGTGCAGAGATTTGTAGCATAGGCACAGGTACCCCTCCAGGTGGTGGTGAACATTGTGGAGCAGTGTGGGCTTGCCAGCCACACCATCAAAGCTCAGGGTTCCATGCCCTGTTCTCAGGTGTGCCTGGGGCACCATGGTGATCAGCAACAGCAGTGTGTAGTGGGTCAGGCACCCCTTTGTCTATGAAAAAAGCTCTTCATGGTGTGCCTGGGACACTGTCAGCAGGGGCATGCTTGAGCTGCAAAGCAAGTGTGGGGTTGGGGGTGGGGGGCAGCCACAGGGTGCCTCTCCAGAGATGCTCGCTGAGGAGAAGGCTGGGGATGCCACCCGCTCCATGTCCCAGTTGCCTGGGAGCCTCTGGCCCCCTGAACCTGGGCACTGTGGGCTTGACAGCAACGGAGGAGACAGTTTGGCCTGCAGGAGAAGTGGGGTGGGGGGAGGGGGGAGTGAGTTTGGAGCTGTGGCAGCAGGTGCTGCCAGGAGCCAGGCCTGTCCCAGCCTGGGAAACTGGTGGAGAAGGCAGACTGCACCCATGGAGTGAGTGGGGACGGCAGGCTCAGCTGGTGCATGCCTGTGCCAGGGCCTCCCTGGCTGACTTACCATGATCTCTGGATACCTGTGCACACAGAACCCCCAATCTGAGGCCAGGCAGCATACAACCCCCTGGTATAGTGCATGTTATCTCAGAAATGTTGCAAACTCTCACATACAGCCTCTTTCTCCTGGCTCTGCAGGTCCTGCAGTTGCATGCAGGGGAGAGGCGCTGGCTGCACATGGGGATATGCCTTCAGGGTCACTGTCAGTTTCAGCCGAGGCCCTTCCTATGCGTCAGCTGTGGCAGCAGCAGACCCAAGACTGGATCTGGCTGCTGGACTGACTGGTCACCATGGTGGAGGAGTGTTATGGACTCGCAGGCCTGGCGAGCAGAGAACATCATGCGCGAGTGGGAGAGGGACTGGGAGAGGGATCGGGCAGACCAGGTGTTCTGGGACAGGCTCCTGGCCCTTGGGGAGAGGAATCTGGAGGCCCAGGAGTGACAGGCTGCCATGGTGTCCAGGGTAGTGGAGCCCACAGAGGAGGACTGCTGGGTGCTGGACACCATCCTGGCCCTGATGGTTGCCTTTGTGCCACCCATTGCCCAGCCCCAAGCTGCAGCCCTGCCTGCCCCCTGGCAGCTTCCCACCACCCAGCTGCAAGCCCCCTCCACTCAGCCCCCTACCTGGGCCTTGCCCTGCTGCTTGCCCCAGTTCCATGTGGTCCTGGAGCAGGAGCTGCCTGCAGTAGGGCCATCACCATGTCCAGACCCTGCTGGCCCAACCAGCTGAGTGCAGGAGGGGAAGCTGGCTGTGCTGGCAGAGCAGTGGCTGCCCTCACCCCTGGGTGAGCCCCCTGCCCACTGGCCTCACTGTGGTATGTGCATCCATGGTGGTATGTCCAGAAGCCAGGGTGCTGGGCACCTGTTCCTGAGCTCTGCCCCTAGGAACTCCCACCCCACTACCCTCCACCCTGGGAGGGCACACTGAGCACAATGTACATAGTCTTCATGGGGTGGTTGGGGGGCCTCTGTGGGTCAGAGGGGAGGGTGGAGGGGCTCTGTGATTCAGGAGAGATGGGGCCTGCTGTGGGAAAGGGATGGGGGAAGGTCTCTGTTTTTGGGGAGCGAGGGGCTCTGTTGCTGGGGAGGGAGGGGGATGGAGTCTGTGTGGAGGGGAATAGTGTTTTTCTGAAAACTGTACACATCAAGCAGGATGCTGGAGATGCACAGTGCAACTGGGGTTGAAAGGCAGGTGGCCAGAGAGCAGTACATGGGGCTGGCTTTTGAAGATCACCCCCGGCTGCAGGCAGCTGTGGCCACAGCTTCCAGCTCCCTCTGGCTACTGCAGGGGGGTGGTGCAGGGCTGGAGGAGGCCAGGAGCAGACTACTTGCAGGAGCAGCAAATCTGCTCCCAAACGGCTGCACGTGTAGGCGCCTGTTCAGGGCTGGTTTGCTTTGCAGTATCTTACCGTGGAGTAAACCCATATGGCACTAATTGCACATGTAGATGCCCCCACTTAGAAGTTGCTTAGGTACTGCTTCTTTTTTGTACAGATAAAATAGGATGGAGAACAGGCTTTTCAAGCAGTGCCCAAATATGGATGTCCTGTCTAAAACAATGTTAACTTGTATATGCTCTGGATGTTGCTAACCATCTGAAAACTTCATTAACTCATTTGTTTGTTCCCTGAAGGTTCTAGGATGGATTCTGATAGCTGGTTTCATGACTTTAGTACTGATTTCCACATGCATCAAGCGCTGTCGTTCTCCAGTCAGTTTTCTTCAGCTCGAATTCTGGAAAATATACTTGAAAAAAGAACAGGAGTTTTTTGGTAACAAGGCCAAAGAGCACGCAGCCAAGATGGCAGAAAGAAATGTGAGCTGCTACTTTGACTCCACTGAGCTAGAACCATTTTATACTCCAAGCAACAAAGCCTGGTGGCAGATCTCATCTTTGTATGCCTTTAATACTAAAGAACAGTATTACAGCATGATACACAAGTACGTTAGCTCAGAGAAAGATAAGAGCATCAGTTCGGCTGAAGGAGACGTGTTCCCTCACATTCTTGGGTTTGTGGATGAGGCTGAAACACAGATTCCATAATGAAGAAATTCTATTCTACTTAGAGGTATTAAAATGTGGTCTTGTTCCACCACAGTGGACCACAGAAGATGCTAATAAACCCGTTCCTGCCCAGGGCAGGGGGTTGGACCTGATGATCTGTTACTATGATACTGTGATACTATGACACTTTTTGGGATATTGTTTTAAATATTTTTTTTAAAATGTCTTTAATAAATTGTAGATTTCTGGATGGCCATTTTTAAATATTTTTTTCTCTAACTTTTCCAAGTTAGGCTTGTTACATAGCCTAATCTCATCAGCCGTGGGTTTTTTTGATGCTATAAGATATTATAAAAAATGGCAAAAAAGTCTTGCATCAGCTAGTCTCAGAGCTCAGGGTATTTGGCAACTTAGATTCCCATCTTACATGAAAAATATGTTTTTAAAAAGGAAGGAGCAGCAGTATAGGTTTTGACTAACAGTAATGGAGGAGGGTATTATATGTACCTTGTACCACATTCTAATGAATTCATATTGAGGAATTTGCTGGTAGCACTGAAGTGAAGGAACAAGGGAAACATTAAGAACACAAATCAGAATGTATCCTAGCATATTAATATTGATTTGACATGAAAATATGTCTAAAAAGGTAATTAAATTGTGGACCCCTTTGTGGTTTTTTTTGTCTGTGAGTTCTCCAGGCAAGAACCATCCCCTTTGTAAGCATGTTAACACAAAGCATTTTGCGGATGCCAGCAGAAATAAACATGTTTATCCTTTTTGTAATACCAGCTACATTCTCAGCACTCAGTAAGTAATGGCTCTGTGAATGTAATGAAGTATTTGTACAGAATTTTACTAAGATAAAGCATTCCTATTTCCCTACATGCTGGGAAATTTATACCATTATAATAAAACTAAAAACTTCCCTCCAGGGAATTTCCATTTTCTTTACTGTGCTCTGAGATTGGTTGTGAATTGCAACACACATTTTATACTGGTTACTTTGCTAAAAGCATGAGACCAAAAGGCCATTCACTGAATCAGCATCAGCACACTTCAAATCAATCAGGGGAAAAAAGAGCAATGCATTTCCAGTACTCACTTTATTTTGCCTTTTGTACGGAAGCAAAATAAAGTGAGTATTGGAAAAGCACTGTTCTTTTTTATTGTATGAAGAAAGGTTTTTCATGCTACCAGTATGAATATTTCTAGCAAATAAATATACCTAATGATATTATTAATAAAGAATCTCTATAAACAATAATAGCTATCAAGGAGGGTATATCTTAAAAAGTCAAAAATACTGTAAGAATTTATCAGTAACCAGGTTCAAAAAGGGGTTAGAAAAAGTCATAGAGGACAGGTCCATTGGGAGCTGTTAAAGAAAGCAATTAGGAATATATTTTCTGACATCCCTAAATCAAGGATGGTTGATGCAGTAAGGTTATGACAAGAGATGGATTACTCTCCTCATATCCTGTTTGTATACTCTCCCTTTAAAACATTTTCTAATTGTCACTGATAGAGACAGGCCACTGGCCTAGATGGACCTTTGATCTGACCCAAAAGGGCACTTATTATGATGTTACATAATTGAGGATACAAGTTGAACATGAGTGCCCTTGAATTGCAATCCCCCTCTGAAAAGTGACTTTGAATGGCACTTACGTCGTTAGAGTAAAAATTATTAGAGCCAGATTCTATTCCATCTATTAGACACCTAGATGGACTTAAGTACCTAAGTGTGATCCTATTCCACCCTGTGCATGTCCCAGAAAAGTAATTAATGAAGAATATGGATGTGAACTTCTACCTGCTTTTTGTGACTTCAGTTTAAGGCTATGATGATGGTGTGTTAGACTTTTCAGGAACTTCAGCATGGTGGAGCAGGATTACACTTAGGCACCTAAGTTCACTTAGGCTAAAAATAGACATTGCCAAATGAAGCAGTTCAGTTGTGCAGGCACATCCATCACACAAAAATTTTTATGGCCTCACAAAGGCAATGAATGTTGTGACAGAACACACTTTTGGCTGTCTATCACTTTAAGGGCTGGAGCAGGGAGCTGCCAGCTGGCTGATGAAGGTGGCCATTTTGGGGAGCTCTGTTATAAAAGCAGAAAAGTTTGTGTTCAGCTGCTTGGGAAGCAACATTGCCTGGTGGAGTTCCTGCTCCTGGAATATCCTGGTAAGGGCAGAAGCTAGGGGTTTGGCATGGAGGCTCCTGGTTCTCAACATAACCTAAAACTGTGCCCTGCCAGGATAGGGAGGCCTGGTGGGACTGCTGGTGGCATGGCAGCCCCACTTAAATACCATCACCTCCCTGGTATAAGGGAGGTTGGAGTGCCTAAACCCCTGATCCTACCATTGGGTGGGTTACTAAGGGTGTTAGGGGGGCAAGGTAAGCTTAGAAGTGCCTGACTCCCATGGGGTTTTAGACCCTGGAGGTGGTTGGGGTGGAAGACCCCCAGGCTCTAGTGTATGGGGTTGGGTTGTGGCCTGAGAGAGGGGTGTAGTATTCTGGTAAGGGGTCAGGGGCAAAGTAGGCCCAGAGTTGAGCAATTGCTCAGTCCTGTTTGGGTGAGGGTCATGGAAGAGGCCCAAAAGATAATGCCAAGGCTAACCAAGGAGTGGAGAGCAAAGCCCAAGGATCTCTGTGAGTAGGGTGGTGGGAATGTGGCCTGGATAAGCAGTGTGCAAGAGACCAGGTAAGAGCCATTGGAGTGCAAGAGACCCTGGTGAAAAGGGAGTGGTGTGTGTGTGTGTCCCAGAAGGGGTCAGTATGCAAAAGATACAACTGTGTCCCTAGTTTGGCCTGGCCTTAAGCCAGATTATTATCAGACAGGGGGACATCAGTGAGGCATGGGATATGTATAGGGATGGGTGGAGCATATATATATCACCCATGGTCATTTGGGTGCACAAAGGGCCTATTTTCCATCATAGCCATTTACGAACAAGGCATGGCAGGTGAACAAGGCGGGCAGTGTGCCTGGAGACAGGGCGGAGCCATACTAGTAATGAGCCTGGAAGCTGCTCATGTCACAAATACAATGCTTGTTTCTACCCTTAGACATCTAATAAGTGAAACAGAATCTGGCCAGTAGCACATACTGAGTGCATAATTACGTCGGTAGAAGTGGGCAGCAAATAGCTTTCCCATTCCATGAGAGAAACAGGTATGGGTTCTTGCTGTGCCCCAATCACATCAGGAATCTGAATTTAGGCCTCCCAATTTAGTGTATATTAAGTAATCTGTACTAATTTGTCTCTTGGTTTTCATACCAATGGTGTCCTGCTGGGGAGTAGGAACATTACTAAATTCTTGAAAGATTTCAAAGGATAGGAAAACTGCTTATTGCTTATTGCTATTCAGAATGTGATTTAGACCCTGCAAAGATTTTATTTGTAAACTGAGAAAGACACTATATACAAAGAAACACTGTTTATATCTGTTTTGACTTACTTGGGGACTTCATTTAAATCCTGCATAATATACTTAAGATCAGTTCCTGAGGTGATGTATATGATGCTATGCTATGACAGTCTGAAACTATATGACAATCTGGCCTTTAGCTAGCAATAAGATTTCCACATTACAGTCAGGCCTCAATTTACACAGTATTTTTTTTAAATGGTTTCAGTTATGTATGGTCAATTAATTGCAACCCTTTATTTTTGTACACGGTATGGATTCACTTTTACACAGTGCAGCATGGTCACCAAGATATGCAGATGTGTCTAGAATCAGCTGGTCACTTCCCACTCCATCTCCTCCACACTGCTCTCAGTGTAGCTGGTAAGCATGTTGTGTTGCAGTAGAAGGGGACTGAAGAGGGAAGGGGTGTGGTGGGGAGCAGATTAACTCCTGCTGCGGTGAGAGGGAGAGTGGAGCAGGCACTGCCCAGGGGCAGGCTCTGAGGGATGTCTGGGACAGAGCTGTGGCTTGTCCAGGAGGTGTGTGTGTGTGGGGGGGATGACTCCCACCTCTGCACGCACCCCAGAAGGGCACCGGGGGGGGGTATGTGCCCCCCAGAACTGCACGAGAAGGGGCTGCGGGCTGAAGCCAAGGACCTTCTTGGCAGGGGCTGAGCCAGGTTGGGATCAGGGCAAGTGGTAGTGGTGCTGGAAGGAGGCTACGGCGAAATTTGGGGTGGCTGCAGCTCCCCCCATAACCCCTTCCAGCACTGTCACTGCCTGCTCAAAGCCCAGCCCCCACTGAGGAAAAAGCCCGGCGCAGCTCTGGCTCCAGC